ATTAGGAAAAGACAACACTGAGGGATTGGTGATTATTTATCTTTACCATGAAAAACTGCACTTAGTCAGTGATAAAGACAATGAATTTAATGGATGTTTGTAAAAAAAAAACTCAGTTAAGAATTGTTACTTATGTTCATTTTAACTAGCAGCATTTTCATTATACATGTGTGCAAAAATATGTTGATATTCTGTTAATGTCTAAAAAAAAAACTAAATTTTCCAATTGCAGTGTTTCCATTGAATTAGATATGTGATGTGTGATAAATTATTAAAAAACTAGCCACTTCATCATCCTCCTTCTATTTATTTATATATACATTTTTGCCAGTACTAACATCTGATTGTAGTTGATCACAATGCATGGGATGTGAAAAATGGACTTCCATAGCAGTTTTAGGAAATACATCAACTTTGATAAAGCTAAAAAACCACCTCTTCCAAGTGCAAAACCTTTTTTTATCTAAAAGCATGAGTTTTTATTATTTTTTTTTATTGCTGTTTGTATTGGGCAAATTTATTTGCATCGTGGGGAGGGTGATATTATTAATTGGTATCATGATGTAAATTACATATTCTAAGTAAATCAACATTGGTAAGACAGGAGGTGATTAAAAAACTTTAAATATGTTTAAACCTCGCGATGAACTTTATATAAACAGAATTCCTAATATTTATTAATATTTTAGTCTGAACTAAAACTACATAAATTAATCTTGTGTTATGAAATTTATCCTAAAGACAGTTAGCAAAGGCACACAGTTGATGAAGTTGTGTATGAATTAAATGCAAGGTGGATCTATTTACGTGTAACAGGTTTAAAGAAAAAAATACGCTAAATGTTATTTATGTTGCACTTTTTAATTCAGGGAGGATTAATGGAAGCTTTGCACGTGTCTGATTTCTTTTCAAAGGGGGAAGAAGTATAGCTGCTCTCCTGATTGCAGCTGCTTCCTCCGACTCCCTGCCAGTGTTAAGGGCTGCATATATTCCAGCAGCTTGTGTTTTAGTTAGCTTGTCGCAGGTATGACAGATATTTTTGATTTAAAGCCCAATTTTGAAGCGTGGTCTGCGCTATGTTATGGCAAACCACAACGCAAGAGGGACAATCATGAACTAGCTAGGATTGTGGGTGTCCGTGTGTTGGTTTGACAACCGTGAGTGTTTCAGAAAGACTGGCCATGGCACTGCATGTTTTGGCTTTGGGTGCAAACCAACAGACCGTCGCGCAGAGCTACAAACCAGCGTCCTCTAGGGTGTCTGGGATAGTGTCCAAGGTGTGCCAGGCACTGTGGACGGTGTAGGTACCAGATTGACTCGGGCTGCCAGATTGACTCGGGGGCCTGCGCCTATGCTGAGATGCGTCAGAGCGTCCGCCATCTTAAATGTGGCAAATCTGCAGTTTCTCAGTCACTTAAACAGTATCAGAGGGACTTTAATCTCTGAATATATTTTGTATTCGTAGTATTTTTGTTTTTGTAATATTACAAGTTTATTTTTTGTATCCCTTTAGCTTCATTCTCCTGAATTTATTCTCGTTACAAATGCAGACCTCGGGCTCAATGTAGTTTGTTTGAGTGGCGTTGCCATAATGTGACGTCATCGGGAGGCGCAAGGCCCATGGCGAATTCGGTGACGTCATCGGAAGGCGCAGGGACCATGGAGAATTTCTTCGTAAAATTGTCGGCTTACAAACCGCAATCCCGCTTTCGAATAAAACCTACACCCCACTATAATTACTTTAGTAAGCTGTCCAGACCAATCAAAATGTTTTGCGCAATTGTGCAAACGGTAAAACAATTATGTATTGTGACGTCATCAAAAGGCGCAGGCCCCCGAGTCAATCTGGTACCTACAACGGCACTACAGCCAGAGTTTCTGCCATTAGGTACCAAACAGGATATATGCATAGGGTAGAGCGGATGTCGAATTTACCAATCAGAGGACTTTTTCTTCTCCCTGCAGAGATATCTGCTGCTATCTTCTATCTGCACCTATAATTTGGGGGAGGTGCACAAGAGTGTCTGCAGAGTTATCTGCGTTAACTGTGACACACACGCAGACGGTGGTTTCTGAGCATAAACCAGGCTTTATGGACGAGAGAGGGTCTCACTCACTGAATGTTTGCCAGAGTCTGTGAAGTCAGAGCGATCAGTGCTTTTACAGTGTCACCAAAGTCTCCAAGAACACCGGAAATAGTCGCACGATTTGTCTGTAGTCACTTTTATCTTAAAAAAAAAGTCGCTGGACAGGTCTAAAAAGACCATAAAAAATATATGAAGTTAGCAACAATGTGTTCATCTGCCGCTGTCAGTCAAAGATGTTCTTAACGGCGCATGCTTTACAGCATTTTTATTTATTCATATATGCAAGAAGGAGGTAAAAATGTTTAAAAACACAGTTTCCATGGCCATGGTGCTCATTAAAAGTAAGGGTATTGTCATATTTCCATTGTAATTCTAAAAGTTTCAGCTTAACCAGCATCTGTGCTGAAATATGATAGCAAGAACCCTGATTTGATGGTCAGTGAAGAAAAGAAACAGTTATGTATATTCTGAGCTAGCTTGAGTTAACGCCTTGTTTAAATTCATTTTTCAGATTAAACTCAGCTTTTATGGTGTACGAGAGCAGGTGGGATTCTGGATAGAGTTTTGTAGTAATTATTTTATCTGTTAAGTTTTATAATGAAGTAGTGTTTGTTTCTCTGAGCCTGTTTGTCTGACTGTTTGCAGACATATTGCCCCTCGCAGATTTCCTCTGGTTTGCATTTTTGTGTCGAACTTAAATGTTTAATATCTATGAAAGTGGTTCATTGAGATTGCAGACACTGATATTGTGTCGCTCTAACAACAAGTCATAGATTATTATCTGAGATTGTACTTAACATGCTTACAAAGGAGGAGCTCAGAAATTTGTTCAGTTACATTAATTTTAGAGCACTTCTTAGGGGTGCCACCAATTATAACACCCGTTGTTTTCTTAAAAACTGGTTTATGTTTTGTATTTCACCTTCTCGAAAAAATATATCGTCAGATTAAAGTTTTGATCTTCGTTTTTCAGGGTGAGATTTTGCAGCTGCGATAAAAAGCCGAATGCATTTCAGGGCTTTTCACACATCTTTATCACAGTTGTCGATTATTGTCAAGGGCCTAATAAAACATCAACGGAAAAACAGTTATATTGTCAAATATTTATAGCTGATATTTCCTATTGCCTGCTTAAAACACTTATTCCTTTCCCAGGTAAATTGTTGTGTTGCTGCTGTGTAAGACAGCTTTATTTGATACATCGATTCAGTTATAATAACACATTGTCATTGTCTGCAACAAAGGGGGAGGGAAAAGAGAGCTGGATGTGCTTTCCCACATACAGAATCCATATGTGCCCTTGTTGAGCCCAACCCAGAGGGGAAGATTCTCCAGTCATCCATGCAAATGTTTCAATACTGCTCCGTTATCAGCTGTTACAGAATCTGCTATAGGCTAACTGCCACTTTAACTGACAAATTTATCTCAATGAAAAGTCACTGTATCTAAATTTACCCTGCTTTCTAATGTGTTTTAATCAGGATTTAGGTTTAAAGGACTGGGCCTTCTTCGCTCTTCACTAACACCACAAAATACACGCGTGGGTTTTTTTTATTTTTATTTTGTCCTGCTAGTGGTTTAAGGAAGAATAGTTGTGCAAAATAAACTAAAGTTCTGCCTGAGCTTGATGCGTCCTCAGTATATATAGTATGCAGGCATTAATGATTTGGCAGCCGAGTTTATCACACTAAAAGTCGCAGCCATCCGTCTGTGAACGTGGCATGAAAAATATTTCACTCGCAAGTCATTTTCTATACTGTAGGCAGCAACTAATGATTCCCTTTTTTAATATTGTTTAATTTGACAATTTTACAATAAATGCGTAGCACTGTAAGCAAGAGCCCAGAGCTATTTCTTTACATAGTTGAGTAAATCTGAAAGTTTTGCATTAAAGAACCGGGAGGCGTTTGGCTCATTTTATGTGGCGGTAGAAGCCAGAACTGTTAATATGTCAGAGAAACTGATTTTGTTTTTAAATACAGAGGCAGATTTAGTGTTTTATATGTGTGTGTTTGTGCAGAGCGTTGTTGTTTTTTAGGGTTAGAGATGCTGACTTCACTGTTGGGCTGTATACACGTAACCTAATTTAACAAAGCACCCAAATAACCTCAATGATAAACCCACTGCTCCCCCAGAATCAATTTTCATGGAGGTGCTCTCCTTGATCAGGACCGCATTAAATCTTGTTTATTGGTTAAAAGCAAACTGCCTCGGCCTATGAAATAGGCTCCCTCGGAGAACAGGTAAGGTCCTAAAAGCCGGTGTGTGACGGAAACCCCCCCCATCAGTGTAAATACAAGTCCGGGTGTGCCGAGACGGCCGGGAGGAAAACAGATGAAGAGAAGCAAGAGCGTGGCTCGCGTTACAGGCGGTTCAGGTCTTGGGTTTTATTGGGATACTGAATCTTTGCAGAGCAGCACAGACTGTTGGGGAGCTGGCTGCATGCCTCTCAAAAGCAAACCAAAAAAATCAATCCCATTGTAATCACAGATTGTGACCGGAAGGGCTTAAATCTTTGTATGTGCGCTCGTCTATGTGTGTATGTTTGCATCTACTGCTCTCAGTGGACAAACACAGGCTCCTCACTGCAGGTTCAGTGCGACCACAGGCACGGCAGACCGCTGGGAACAGAGGGGGACGTAGGGGAATAAAAACAAACATGAGAGGAAAGACAATTTAGAGGCTAGTGGGAATGTTCAGTGTTGATGTAATTGACTGGTGAAACTCCATCTTCCGCCCTAATCCTGGTATAAGCCGCAGCTCATACTTGGCAGAGAACTTGGGTCTTGAAATATGTTCCCTCTGTCATTTTGATTTGTTTCCCTGCATGTAAATCAGTTTTATACATGTCGTTTGTATATTTCCCGTTGCTTATGATTTTGTGGGATTTCTTTTTTATTCTCCTTTTCACAGAAGTCCTGATGAACACTAAGAGCGAGACGTCTGATCTCAAATGGACCATCTTCTCCCAAGACAGATCTGAGGTATGTATCGCCATCATGGCCGTGATGTGATGTGTATATTTCAACACCATCCCAGCAGTGGGTTCGGGTCTTTGGCCTCCAGCGGTTTCTTTGTTACTCTGGTCATAAACAAATTCCTTTTACAGCCGCTGACAGAACGGAGGAAACGTCAGCCTGACTGTGCCGTTTAAGTATATGAAAAGCAGATGCTTTGATATATCCCATCAACCTTGGAGTCGCAGTGACTGGCTGCCCACAGTTTCGGATCCCCCTCGCCAGAAAAAGACATATTTGTAATTTGATCAGTTGGAGAGTGGTTACAGCGGTTCTTTTGCCGGCAGCATCTGTGACCAGAGCTGCTTGACTTGCTGCTGCCTCTGAAGGAAAACAGTCAGATCTTTGCTGGAGGATGGGGAGATGGAGAGAAGGGCACGGCGTTTCTGTTGATTAAAATGCAATCTAACGCATTCCACTAGCCTCCAAACATTTCACAGTGTTAGCATCATTTGAAGGAGCTTATCAAAAAGCCTCATGCTGTCACAAACATTAAGGTGTTTGTTTTTAACATAATGTCACCATTAAAGAGTACAAACCTGTTATTTAGGTGGTGATGACAAGCAGGAGCGGCGCCATGTCACACGGTGTTTGCATCTGGCTCTTTATTTTTAGTATTAAAGGAAGATGATACTCTTCTTTAAGGCAGATAGAAAAACACAATTGTCTTTATTAAATGTTGTGCACTAATTTTATTTAAAAACGTAGTATTAGCTTGACATAAAAATGGGTTTTAATCACATCATAACCTTAGATTTTTGGTTTAGTTTTGTGTGATTGCAGCTGTCAGTCATTTAAAATACAAGTCAACTATGTTTCTGCAGGAAACTAATAAATGTCACGTTTTTACTGATATATAATCCTATATTTAATAGGTTTAAGGACTTTTTTTCCTATTTGCAAATGTAAATATATAAACAAAAGTATACACCCTACCTCATGTAGCTAGTGTTTAAGATAATGTCAGGGAGGCTGCTCCTGTAGCTCTATACCAGCCTCCACTCATCATTTTCAGCTGTGATATTTTTTCAAGGAGTACTTTATGTATGGAGCCAGTTTCATGTCTGCTCACAGTAGACATATAAACAAATCTTCTCCCGCTTATTCCGTCCGGGGTACCCATCTCCGGCAGTCTATGAGACATACAACCATGCACACACAGTCCCACCTATGGACAATTTAAAGAATCCAATTAACCTAACAGTCATGTTTTTGGACAGAGCCGGAGTACCCAGAGAGAACCCACACATGCATGGGGAAGAATTTGTTAACTCTATGCAGATAGACCCTGGACAGGGAATCAAATCTAGAACCTTCTTGCTGAAAGGCAACAGTGCTGCAAACTGTTCCACCATCCAGCCCCTACAGTTTATGGTTTTGGTGGTTGTGAAGTTGCAGAGTGCAGGTCATCTGATTTTATGATGCTTGGCTGGCAAGGTCCTCCAGCAGCAAAGAATCTAAAAACCATGACGCTTCCTCCACCATGCTTTACAGTTGTAGATACACCAGAGGTTGCTTTGCATGTCGTCCACCTGTAGACTATTTTCCAAACAAGTTACCTTTTTTAATCTCTTACAGGACAAAGATGTTGCTTCAGTTTTCTTCCTGAATGCCTCAGACAGCTCTATATATCTTATTGTATATAAACAAGCTCACCCTTTGAGTTTCACACAACAGAGTTCTCCTTATGAGCGTGTCATATTCTTATGTAACTTTTTGGCCATTTTAAGAATGTCAGGTTTTTTTGCTTTTCAGAAATAGCAGGTTTTAACTGCATTTTTTTATTACCATTTTGTTTCAATTCTTTGATAATGTTCCTATTTAAAGTAATTCCAAATTGCATCTATTTGTCCTAAACCTGCAGGCTTACATAGTTGCCCTGATTTTTTTTCCACATGACTGTGTAACTCCCTCTTCAGTATTTATTACCATTTTTGGATCTTTTCAGGGTATTTCTTCCTTTAAGTGGTTTAGACCCGTTTCTGAGTGCTTCCCTTTCATTCAGACCAACACTCTGCCACCCTCCACAAATCATGTGCAAATGGATTTTTAAAGATTTACATATTTACATAACCAAATTTCTGAGCCTCGCGTTCAAGCAAATCTACTAAATTTCGCCTCAAGTATGTTAATTTCTTTCTTGATTCACGCTCCTGGGAACGCAGTGATGCCGAACATGTTTGCTGTTGTTTCAGAAGTCAAACATTAAAGCTTTTCTCCATTGAGGCTGGCTCCTGAACAAATGAAGACTTCTAAGGAGAGGTTATGCCTGTTATGCACTCGTTATTGTGTTTTAGTCTATAAATGTGTTTGCAGGGGGAAATCTCTGTCTTGGATGCAACGTGAGGCAGTGTGCCTTGCTTGACAAGCGAGACTTGGATTCCCACAAGCTGCGATGCAGCTCAGTGGGAAGAATGATTTAACAACCCAATTTCAATTTTAGGCTGCATCAACATCCACAGCAGGCCAGATTTTTCCCTCAGGTCTCCGGCAGGTGGAACGCAGAGGAGCCAGAAAAGATGTGGATGTGCCTTACTGGGATTAATGTACTTTTTTAACAGGAGTTATGTAAACACGTCGGCGATTTTTAAACCTGCTCACAGGTTTTCTGGGTCAGATGGATTTTTTTTGGTGCTTGACAACCTTTTGTTCTCTCCAGTCACAGTGGGAGGAAGTGAGCGGTTTGGATGAGGAGAGCAACAGTGTGAGGACCTTTCAGATCTGCCAGTTAGAAAGCTCTTCCAGCCAGTGGCTGCGCAGCGGCTTCATCCAAAGGCGAAGCGCCTCTCAGGTTTACGTGGAGCTGCGTTTCACCATGATGGAGTGTTCATCCCGGAGCACGCATCACCGCAGCTGTAAAGAGACTTTTAACCTCTACTACTATGAGGCAGACTCCAACGAGGCCACAGCCACATACCCGCCCTGGATGGAAAACCCATACACCAAGGTATGACCTCCTGACCTTCCATCTTTAGATTTAAATAAGGATATGTTTAAAAAAAACTTCCATTGCAAAATAATACATTTCCTGCTTGATTTATTAATATATTTTAGATTTTTAAATAAATGGATGCGTTGATACTATTAGGAGTCAAAAGTTCTCAGCAAGACTTGCAACAAAACCTTTCCTTACCAATATGGCTGCCGTGCCAAACCTAAAGATGCTATGAAAGCTGCATACATAAGCTATTTATTAGCCTTCTCACTGTTTGGATCTCATTATGCTATGGTCAAACTTTAACAAAACCCCTCCCCCACTCTCTCCTCACGCTGAGTTAAAGCTCAAACCAAGCAGGTTTTTAAGATATCTGAACCTAACGAGTGTTACCCTGATTAGAGTTCTTAGGAAATCTTTTTGATTGGGCAATTAGGACTTACCTGGCCTGTGGATTACCTCCCTCCTGGGGTTCACACCTTTTTTCAACAAGTCAGACAACCTAGTAGCCTACGGCCATCTGTTTCCTCTCTACCGCGCCCAGTTAATGATAGCTCCTATTCTCATACAATAGCTCTTGTTATTTGGACCAGTTTAAGTTTAGGTGGCTAAAAAGCCCCTAGGATGTTGTCTGCAGGGCTAATTTAAAGACCTCCTTATAATTTCATGAACCATGCTCTGAATCTATTTTATGAAAAACCAAATCAATATGAATAGAAATGTGAGTAAATATGAAGAACACTTGGTAATCAGAAGATAAAAGTTAACTAAAAATCCCATTTGGATCTCTAGAAGAGGCTTTTGTAGAGCAGACGGAGTCATACCGCAGAAGGAACCAGTTCAGGCTGATCCTCTTGAGTTTCCTGGGTGATGGATTAAAACTTCCTCTACTGAATGGGAATGCTGTCATGTCAAGTGTGGTGCGATGATAGCTCAGCTCACCAGTTGTACTTCCTATTTGACTGCATGACCTGAGGTTTTTTCTTCTTGACTGGATGTTTCAGTGTTAGCTCATATTTAAGTTGGGTAGATATCTCTGGTCTTGGTCTCTGGCCTTTGAGAAGCAGAAGCCCCTGATTGAAGTAGAAACTCAGAACTCAGTAATAGACATAGCCTCCTGGTTCACAGAGGTTCCTGGTTCTCCCCTGGCTTTGCTTGTTTATGTTTCCTTTGTTAATGTGTCTCCTGTGACAAGTCCTACTTGTCTTGTCTCCTTAAATACTCTTCTATTCAAGATGTACCTTTTTGCCAGAAATTGGTTACTTATATAAGGACAGAATCCCTTATTTCCTTTATCTTTATCATTAAATACCATTTGAATTTTTTTTCCTCAATCAAAGAAGGAATTGGTCACGCATTAATTAACTGTGCTTTTGGATGAATATTCTTGGCCTTGACATGAACAGAGAGAATTAACATGTTGCTCACGCTGCTTAGTACAGCTTTGAGATACAAATACTTTTCTCTCCTGAACGATCACAGTGACTCTTACTGGCTGACAGGATATTCCATTGACCAGTTTACTTCCAAAGGTTTCACTTCTCCTTTTTCTGACAGTGTCAGTTAGAAAACAAATCAGTAGTGGTCAAAATCAGAATCAACCCGTCTGCCTTTTTTAGAGATAAACCAGAAACCTGCAGTCTGTGTGACTCTAAAACATTCTTCCATATTATGAAATATTGACTTGATAAACATTTTCTAAGTCATATGTGCCCTAAAGAACATGAATGATAATCACTAATTGAAAATATCGCTTTCCTCTATCATTGCCTTTCTCCACCTCTTAACTAATAGGTGCGTTCGATTTCGGCGTAGGCGTCCTCCAAGGACCCAGTCTACCGGGGCTGGGTCCTTCGAGGTCCATGTAAATAAGGGGCCCGGAAGAGTTTGGATGTGGATTCAAATGGGTTCAACCTTCTCCGACCTTCCCCGTCTACACACTCTGTCACCTAGCAACCATGACAGTTGACACGCAGAGCAGGCAAAGGATGCATACCAAACTTCTCACTATTCTGGGTGCTAATAACATTTTTGAGGAGTTTCAGCAGCAGTGCCATCATCACGAATATCAGATTTATAGTCCACACATGGCAGAGATATTGCATCTGCAGTTAAATGTCAGCCAAACCCATTTACACTGGGATCAAAAAACCAGACATTACCCACCACATACACTATATTGCCAAAAGTATTTGCTCACCCATCCAAATTATTGGAATCAGGTGTTCCAATCACTTCCATGGCCACAGGTGTATAAATTCAAGCACCTAGGCATGCAGACTGTTTTTACAAACATTTGTGAAAGAATGGGTCGCTCTCAGGAGCTCAGTGAATTCCAGCGTGGAACTGTGATAGGATGCCACCTGTGCAACAAATCCAGTCGTGAAATTTCCTCGCTCCTAAATATTCCACAGTCAACTGTCAGCTGTATTATAAGAAAATGGAAGTGTTTGGGAACGACAGCAACTCAGCCACGAAGTGGTAGGCCACGTAAACTGACGGAGCGGGGTCAGCGGATGCTGACGCGCATAGTGCGAAGAGGTCGCCAACTTTCTGCAGAGTCAATCACTACAGACCTCCAAACTTCATGTGGCCTTCAGATTAGCTCAAGAACAGTGCGCAGAGAGCTTCATGGAATGGGTTTCCATGGTCGAGCAGCTGCATCCAAGCCATACATCACCAAGTGCAATGCAAAGCGTCGGATGCGGTGGTGTAAAGCACGCCGCCACTGGACTCTAGAGCAGTGGAGACGCGTTCTCTGGAGTGACGAATCGCGCTTCTCCATCTGGCAATCTGATGGACGGGTCTGGGTTTGGCGGTTGCCAGGAGAACGGTACTTGTCTGACTGCATTGTGCCAAGTGTAAAGTTTGGTGGAGGGGGGATTATGGTGTGAGGTTGTTTTTCAGGAGCTGGGCTTGGCCCCTTAGTTCCAGTGAAAGGAACTCTGAATGCTTCAGCATACCAAGACATTTTGGACAATTCCATGCTCCCAACTTTGTGGGAACAGTTTGGAGCTGGCCCCTTCCTCTTCCAACATGACTGTGCACCAGTGCACAAAGCAAGGTCCATAAAGACATGGATGACAGAGTCTGGTGTGGATGAACTTGACTGGCCTGCACAGAGTCCTGACCTCAACCCGATAGAACACCTTTGGGATGAATTAGAGCGGAGACTGAGAGCCAGGCCTTCTCGTCCAACATCAGTGTGCGACCTCACAAATGCGCTTCTGGAAGAATGGTCAAAAATTCCCATAAACACACTCCTAAACCTTGTGGACAGCCTTCCCAGAAGAGTTGAAGCTGTTCTAGCTGCAAAGGGTGGACCGACGTCATATTGAACCCTATGGATTAGGAACGGGATGTCACTTAAGCTCATATGTGAGTCAAGGCAGGTGAGCAAATACTTTTGGCAATATAGTGTATCTGACACAATAACCATTCAAAAACTACTTTCATTAATTTCCGACTGAACTGTTCACATACTTGTATAATATTAAACAACACCACTGTCTGGTGTAATTGACCTTTTTTACTGTGAGCATAGAGCTGCTGGCTTGATTGGACAACGAATCACGAGATATCCAAGGCTATGTAGGATACACCAGACTGGTCCTTCAAAACGGGCAAAAAGAAGTCTGTATTTGCCGGTCACATAACAAATCTTCCAATCCGAACAGGCCTCGGCATCGCACTCTGCATAATCGGTCGACAAATCTGGTCTTCGAAGGACACGGTTGCCGGATTCGAATTCAGCAAATTTGTGTTAAAAATGCTCTGTTTGAAATAAATCCCTTTGTGATGTCATAAGGGGAAATAAGCTGTCTTTATCGGTAGAGCTACGACCCTCATCTAATGTGTTCTGTGATCCTACCTCTATCTTCACGAACTCTCACCGGTTGTCATGGTTGTTGACGTGGCCTTTAGGAGGACGGAGGTGTCCAAAGCCAAAGCAGTTTGTCCAGAAAAGGGCAGAATAAGGAGATCTTTCGTTCAGGCTGTCCACCTAATCTTAGAGGAATTTTCCTACAGAAACAGTTAACACATTTTCTGGGCGCCTCAGTGTTGATATATTTTTGTTATTGTCAAATGTAGAACAATATGGGACCTTTAAAATTTAATACAGGAAACACAAAGCCAGCGCACAAAATATGTTTTTTTTTGTTGCCAGCAGAAACTCAGTGTCCTCTTGCATAGTATCAGCTATTATCTTAACAGAGTCAAAAAGACAAAAAAAAACAATGTCTTGTTTTTACTGTTTTAAATCATTGTGAACAAAACTGTTTGCAACTGTGGACAGCTTCTGATTTATACATTTCTTAGTGTTTTTATAGCCTTTATTCTGCTGAGCTGCAGCTTCCTTATTACAAATAATTGCCATTTGTTTTCAGAAGAATGTGTCGACAAATTATTTTAATTAATCTTAGACAAATTTCTTTTGTTTTGGTATCCATTTGGCTTACTTATATATATATATATTTTTTTTTTGCAGGGCTCAAACAAGTTTACAGAAAAGTAGAAAATAGAATAGCTGTATTTGTGTAACTCATTACTTGAGAGGTTTTGTCACTTTTAGTCCTTGTCCAAGCTAGGTTTTTCCCCCCAAGGGAAGAGGCGCTGTTTTAAGTCTCTCCTTGTTTTTATGCTGAATCGGTTGCTAATCTTCCAGATTTTCTTAATATCTACAGCTTTTTTGCAAATGCTGTAGATATGAACAAATTGATTCTACTTGAACCTTTCTACATTATTTCTACATAACAGCCACAAGGCTGGTTTCTCATAGCTTTAAAAGGGCAGCGTTTCACAGCATTGACTTGTCAAGCTATGATATTTGCACATCTAGTGTCAGCACCTAATATTGTAACCTTGTCTGAAATACAGAGGTAACGACATATTAATTATGATTAATTGCTTCTAAGTCTGCAGCTGTAGCCCCAGAGTGTGTCGTCACTTGTGTAACTGAGCGGTTGCCAGGGGGGCTGTGCATCAATCAATTTCTGCGGTGTGTTTGGGAAAATCTTGGGTGCTTTATATGATTTATTATGTCTGTTTAATCAACTAAACAGATTGACACGTGCAAAGTTGCCAGCCGTTTGTGTTTTTAACTTTGTTCTCTTACGTAACGCCTTTCTTCTTTTTCCTGTCCTAGGTGGACACAGTGGCTGCAGACTTTCTCCTGAGGAAGGGTGGGGAGAGGAAATTCAACGTGAAGACCCTGAGGCTCGGTCCGCTTACCAAGAGAGGCTTCTACTTGGCCTTTCAGTCTCAGGGAGCCTGCATGGCTTTGCTGTCCGTCAGGGTGTTCTTTAAAAAGTGTCCTCCCCTCGTCAGCATGCTCTCCTCTTTCCCCGAGACAGTCCCCCGTTATTTAGTGCAGGAGGCGCAGGGTTCGTGTGTGGAGCACGCTGCCCTGCAGGGTCCCCGCCCTCGACCCCCTAAGCTCTTTTGTGGCGAAGATGGCCAGTGGGTGGGGCAGCCGACCACTTCCTGCGCTTGTCTACCTGGATTTGAATCAGTGGAGATGCAGACCCGCTGTGCAGGTAAGATCCAACATAAATATAATTTTTATAACAATGCATTTATGCTCTAAAGCCGCACAGTCTGGCTGACTAAACAAGAAACAATGAGGTTTGAGGATGGGGGGGCCATACTTGGGGTTAAAGTGTTTGAGAGGAAATAAGAGACTGAGAAAGTTAATGAGGCGGGGGGGGCAGCTGTGAAACAGCGAGGATGACTGGAGCTTTACTCATCTCTACAGAGGAAGAGCAGGGTCAAAGGGCTACTGCTGCAGCGGCTCGCAGTTCAGCTCCGACAGAAGGAGCACTGGGGGGGGGGGCAGGAAGGTGGTGCTCTGGGTGAAGATTGTATCAGTTTGAGAACATCAAAGCTAAGCACACAAGAAAAGAAGGAAAGAGCAGAACGATTCTCTGAGGAGCCGTGCAGGAGCCTCCGTCTAATGAGTCCAATTAACATGCCTCATGCACAAACACTCCCAACGTGCATGCTTAGCACATCCCGCCGCCACGGACAAATGCTCAGCGCTACCAACAAAGAAGCATAAGAAAGAGCAGCACATTTTCTCCTCAAAAGTGTGGTTTTAGCTCTATGCTTGTGGAAAGCAGGATCCAGTTTGATCTCTCTGGGAGGTATAATGATTTCATTTGACAACAAAAAAAGGAATAACTTCTAGCATTATGTTTCTGGTGAAGTGCCGTTTCCAGCATTCTGTCACAGAGGAAAGCTGTGAGGAAAAACACTCAGTCGGCCATAAAAGGAAATTGCCTGCATGTAGAGATTGGATGTTTAATTTACTTCATTCGCTGGTCATTTTTGCAAAATGAAAATGACACCTAGGTTTAAAATTAGAACCATTTTTGCTGTTCCTGAGACAGTTCATATGGATTCAGGCTCAAATCTAACATCTAGAACTTATGAATCTTGTCGACATGATTTAGTGTCATCAGGGAGCTATAGTGCAAGTTTTCATCGTTGTCTGGGAAGTAAACCTTAACAGGGATTTTATATCACTTCATCACACTATACACGCTGGTGTGGCCATGCCACCTTCTCACAGTGCAAAAAAAAAATAGAATAGAAATCATCACAGCCATTTAAACCCACCTGCTGTGACTGCTTTCACTACAAAATTGTATGTCCTCGAATTAATTCTGCAATCTTTGCCATTTTATCCTTGAAAATATGAAAAATGTATACCCCTTTCATGACATGAAAGAAGCATGAAATATTTCCAACTTGACTAACATTTTCTCCCCAGAAAATGATTGGTAAATCTTTCAGATCACTCAAACATGCAGCGCTCTTTAAAAGCTTACTTTTTTTAACATCACATTCAGTTAGAACTACTACTCAGACGTGTCACATTTTGACATTAAAAACATTTTAGATGTTTAATATCTTTAACAGATTTTTTTTAAATCACAGTTTCCTCAAGTATTGTATGTAATGCAATGTTTATGCATTAAGGAAAAATGAATCTACTTTCAAATAGTATAGTTAACAGGAGCAACATTTTTTTATAAAAAAAAAATTCCTCAGATGTTTGAAAATGTATTCAATTTTGACTAATCTGATGCATATATCTAATCTTATAAGGCATTTATTTTGGATAAATGTTATTATTTAGCTGTTTTATGATTTCTGCTAGGGTAATGGGTTTAAACTGCTGTCATGACTTCATTATTTTGTCTTAAAGCATTCATTACTTCTACACAACAGCTTGTTATTCACCTTATTGTTTGAAAATTTTTAATTCCATATGTTATTTAGAAAATCTCTGCATAGCGACGTTCTCACAAATTAAAAAATTGTTCTCATATGTGGGAAAAATTCCTGAGGCAAAATGTCATTCAGAGGCCGTTGACCCCAAGAGTCCCGTCACTTTTCACAGGAAACAACGTTATAATTGGTGTCAGAGTTTATTGTTTTAAATCTTTGGAGCTTGAGCTGCCGCTCTGAGCGCAGAGCGTAAACACTCAGACTGTAAGTGGCGTCACTGTGACAGCTCTCTGCACGTTCACATGTTGGCCAAGGCGAATGCTGGTCTGTAGAGTGTTTCGCTGTCTGGGGCGGGGGTTCAAACTCTGGCACCAACTGGTGACGATTAGCATAATTTTCCTTGACTGTTAAAAAAGGGAAATAATAGTGATATTTAATGTCTATTGTTTAATTGTTTATAGATTCCTAAAAGTGCGACACAAGGTTTGGGACTCTGGTTGTTGCATACTAAAGATGCACATCTATCCCTCTGTGTGCCTATCCACCTGGTCCTTTGGTCTGTTGGCTTTTCCATCTTTTTGTCTATCCATCTGGGAAGTCCTTAAAGATGTCATAGAACGCAAACCCGAGTTTACATTGCCATAGATGAATAACGATAGTTCAGTGGGTGAAATGGACCTACAGAGAACTTCAAACCCCATCAACACCTCCTTTCTCTGTAAATCTCACAATTCTAAACGTCCACCATAAAACGGGCAAATCAAAAACAAAGCACGTAGATTTTGTCATGATCCTAGGCGGGGGGAAGCACGGGGCCGCTGGTGTCCAGGCCCCGGAGCTCACAGCTCAGTTCTGCTGCTCTGTAGTCGACCAAAATCGCAGACGATTTTGGGTTCCCCCTGGACATTTTTTTTAAGCATGAAAAGTAGGACATGTCCGGGAAAAAGTGGACATCTGGTCACCCTTCCATATCAACAATTTTGATGTTTCAGTGAGTGACAGGTTGTTGCTCTGATGCGTCATTGCTCAGCAACTTCGCTCGTTGTTAACCAATCAATCAACCAAATGTATAAACATATTATATATGTGTATATATATATATATGTATATATGTGTGTCTGTGAGAATACTGGGGGAAAAAAACAAGTTTAACAGGAAGAATACTCTACTTTAAGTTCATTTAAGTTTTATTTCTTCACACCCCTTTTCACACCATTTACATTAATCAATGTCATTTCTCTGGCTGTGTATACCAACAGGTTTTGTTTGGAGGGTTTTGTTTCTATTCATGTTCAGGCGAATTTAGTGAGTTTGGAAATTGGGGTTTGGTTTGGTTGGTGTTAAATAGTCTTTTTTGTGTGTATTTGGTTGATTCATTTATTGTTGTTTGTCAAATTGTCTATCTGAATTTGTCTGAAATAAATTCATGTTTACTTATTCATGGTCCGTCTTTGATACTATTCATACACCTATGAGTCTGTTCCTTTACCTTTTCATTAATCTATCCATACAACAGCCCATCCGTCTCTCCATTCAACCATCCACTTACATCCAGCCATCTCTCTTTTGCTTGATTCTTTTTTCCCTGTAATTGAATCAATAAATGTTTCCAAATATTAGTTTATCTGTGACTCCAGCCATCCTTTCATCCATCCATCCATGTTTGCTGTATGAATTTGGCAACTTCCCTATTAACAGCCTCACCGCTGAAATTGTTGAATCTGGAAGTGTCGTATTTGAATGTTACAAATGGGCCATAAACGGACGGAGAAATCCACACTGGAGGACAGGGAAATTGTTGAATAAAAATGTGCAGGAACCTTGGAGCGAAGGCTTGTTAGGGCTGTGAAAGGAAGATTCTTCACCCCCTTTCATTTCAGGTGTGGTTTCTTTGAGTTGACAGAAAAGAATCAGATCAGACTCAGTCTATTTGAATATTTTCACTTCCACAGAATTGGGGTTTGAATTTAAAACCGACTCAACAGTTTCCTGAATCTGTAAACAAAGCAGTTTGTTTTCTCACTAGGACTGTGAAGTATGTGGTCTCATTATATAGATCCAGCCCAGGTGAACCCAATGATAGGCAGATGTCAGTGACAGACAGGTTATTTGCACTAAATTGACTATTAGCATCAGCCTCATTATGGTGATTGTCTCAATTTATGACTCTCATTACACGATTGTCTATCAATCTGAAACCATCTGCCACCGTGAGTACAGTGGTGGACAAAAAAAAAAATAACGGATGTGTTTGCAAATTGAGTTTGACCGAGGTCTGTGGAGGACAGAGAGAGTGTGACAATTTTGCATAATGTACTTTGATGATGAAAGTCGTGTCTGAAGTTGGAAAAGGAAGAAAAAAATGATAATCTCTTCTCATTTAATCTCCCACTCTGTCATCTTCAGCCTGTCCTGTTGGTCAGTTCAAGTCGGGCACAGAGGGACGCTGCAGAGACTGTCCAGAATACAGCCAGGCCCCCAGCAAGGGGACGGAGGTGTGTGCGTGTCGTTCTGGGTACCTCCGTGCAGTTTCCGACCCAGCAGAAAGCTCCTGCTCCAGTAAGTCTACATTAATCAGTCATTAATCCACACTCTGTGTTGGTGCTAAGCAACCGCATTATCTACTCCCTTGGTCTCAATGTTTAACTTCTCCGGCTTGTCTTCACATTGTTTTGTGTTTTTGACACCTCTGGTGTTATTTCCCTGCTTCTCTCTGGTGTTCTTTAGCCAGTTAGCCTTTACTTCCTTTGTGTCCTTTGTGGCTCTGCCGGCTTTCAGATGCATGTCCTTTGTGACAGGTTGCTGGGGGGTTGGGGGGGGGGCTTTTTCAGTGCTGATGGTCTGAAGTAACACCTCCATGTGGATTCAGGAATTTTACATTCTTATTTTTGAATGAGAGGCTCTCAGTAATTAGGGGTCATGTCTGAAGGTAGAGATGCCCATGAAGAGGATGAGAAGGAAATAAGGAGCATCAGGTTTTTGACTTGTTCTTTTTTCTGCAGCTGTGATGTAAAATCCAACCAAATAAGTTCATAATAATTTTAATAACAGCAGCGATAACTTTAATTGCAAAGGCTTTATCTTAACTATTTATCATTTAATTTAGCTGTTTATAATATATTCAAATTTAACACTTGATTGCCGACGCATATCTCAATACTGCATTTCCTTATATTACTTTTTTTATTAATATATATTACTTCCCTCTGAAAACAAAGCACTGCAACAAAGTATTAGGTCTATGGCTGTCAGTTATAAAGCGTTAATAACACGTTAACTGTTTTAGACTAGAAACGCCAACATTTTTTTTTAACGCACATTAATCACGCATCAAAACACATGCACCGTTCGTTTATGCTCTTTTTGTTCCCGGGCGCTCTCTGTACTTTTCGTTTTACCCTCGGCGCTTTTCGTAGTTCCAGGAATGCTAAGTGTGCGGGAGAGACCGCAGCATATCAGATCTGTGCTTTGAATGGGCAAAAATGGCCAGCTGACAAGGTATCCTGAATGATAAGTTTCTTTTTAAAGTTATACCAGAAGGCTCTCTTGACAAAACCAGAGTCCTCTGTCTATGTTGTCCAGAAAAAACGAGCATCTCACTGGTTTCATAACGCAATGTCCACTTTATTTTAACAGTACATGTTTATTTTTGTCCTATGTTTTTAAAAAAAACGTAAGTTTTTGAATAATTATTGGCCAGAATTTAAACAAGGATATTTTCATTCTAATTTCTTAAAGGTGCTTTAAAATAATTTAAACATTTTTTTGTATAAGCATGTTTTTTACATGTCATTTATTTCACAAATGCATTTTTAAAATGCCAAAATAGGCTTTTACACTTTCGAAATAAAAAGATAAAATATGCGTATAATTTGCGATTAATCTCGAGTTAACCGTTGATATTATGCGATTAATCGCAATTAAAAAATTTTAAAATTTGACAGCACTAATTAGGACGCTTTTTTGCGTTTTTTCTTTTAGCAAATGTGATGTGTTCTTGGTCGACGGGTGTTTTTTTTGCTATGGATGCTGCCTTAGACGCCATCTTTGGTTTACATACCCTCCACATTGATAGGTTATTCAGTGGTTTGAAAAGTATACCAGGTTGCTCCTGGACAAATAAACGATGGGCTGTTAAGGAAATGTAGGTTGTTCCTTTAGAGAACAATCTTTTAACCAAGCTGATAGATATCAAATGATTGTGTTTCTTGTCCATCGCAGTTTTTTATTAGACGAGGACCTAACGTGTTGGTTTTTGAGATCCTATAGCCTACTTCATGTCATCAGACAGGTTCTATTTTTAACCCTTCCTTTATCCTACAGTTATGGCAATAATCAGACCTGGCTGTTGATGGTAAAACTGAATAAAAGATGGTTGGCGATGATAAGCTACTTTTCTCTCTTTGGGCCAGTCTAAATTTGCATTGCTTCATTCCCTCGATAATTTATTCAACATTTAAAAAAAAAAAAAAAAATGCCTTTTTTATTGATTCTGTTTAACTTTGTCTAATGTGAAATTTAGGTGAGAAAAAAGTGATTGCCAAATAATAAGAAAAGTGTCACAAATGTTAAACTCCCAAGTTCTTACAATCCCTTATTGGGTGTGATGTCGTCCGCCATGGTTTATTAAGAGCACCATCAGCGCTGAAATCACCCGCAGATTCAGTGACAAAAACTCTCTGTCTCCACGGCAGTAAGTGATACTGATTCACAGAGCCTGAGTGGTCTCTCTCTGTTTCGTTATGCTTGGCTTCAGGCAATAGCTATCTACTCAGAATGTTCAGGCAGCCATCATTATCGTCGTGCTTTAGATGAACCTAATTGCACCAGTTGAGTTCTGCAAAAACACGCTCCTGCTGTGATGCAAAGCTGCTGCAAGACCACTGCAGTTTTTAATGGAAAAATGTAAACAAGTATGCATTGTGAAAAAAAAGACGTGAGCAGAGAGCATGATTGCGTTCCTGTTGTTTTATTGAAACTGAGTGACACTAAAAAGTTTCATATTAATTTGACCCTTTAGTAAAAAAGGAACTACTTTTGCTCTCAAAGTATTTATTTTGAGCCAAATAAAAGATCTAATATAAAATTTAGAAGTAATAATTTCCTTTTGATTTTTTATAACCATCAGAAGTGTTCTGCATTTATTTTAATTTTAAGATTATTTCATATATAAAAAGCTAAAAGGTTTTGCATTCCTTTGCATTCAGTCTCCTTTACTGTAAATAAAATTCAGTGCTACAAATCTGTGTCAGCCGACCTCTGTAAATGTCTAAGAGGTTTTTTGCAAGATTAGTGAATGCAGATGGGTCAAGGGTTCAAATTATGGGGAAGGTTACAAAATGTTATCTAAAGACATACCAGAAACTCCTGTGGTTGAAATGGGAAAAAAAAAAACTACCAAGATGTGGTCATCCAGCTAACCCGCCTGGCCATAGGTCAGCATTAATAAGAGAAGTGGCCAAGAGGCTCAGCCAGCGGCAAACAAAGAGTAGCAAGAAAAAAAAAAACTTTGAAGCAAAGCCGTGAGAAGTCCTGTTTCCAGTTTGCTGCAGGCCCCGTAGGAGACACAGCGGCCATGTGAAAGCAGGCGCTCTGGTCAGGTGAGATCAAACCTTAACTCTCTGGCCTACATACTGAAACTGTATGTGGCTAAACAACACGCATCATGCTGTGGAGAAGGTTGGGTGACTTCCTTTTTTTTTGTATTTTAGCTGCGGTAAGTTAGTTTACTAAAGTTCATGAGGTGATGGATGGTGCTGGTTTTCTGATTGTAAATCCATTAGAGGCTTCAACAGAGTTGAGACTGGGCTGGATGTTCCCCTTCCAGCAGAAGCCCGATCCTAAACATACAGAGATATAATTAAAGCTAAAGATGGAAATTTAGTAATGTGTTGTTGACAGACACACTCCATCCAAGCAGACCCTGCAAAAACCGAGGGTGAACAGTGTCAGTATGTAGATATACAAAGCTTGTAGAGACAGATCCTCAAAGATTTGCAGCTGTAATGAAAACGAAAAACGGTTGAAAAAATATTGACTCTGGAGGCTAATTATAAATGCAGGCCACACTTTTCAGATTTTTAACATTAGAACTGTTTAAAATATTTTTTTTTTCATTTATAGTTATGCACAATTTGTGTTACTCAATTATATAAAATCCGAATAACATTGAAGTCTGTGCAAAAAAAGTGTTAAAGTGAACTGAATATTTCGATTTAAAATAGAAAATATTTCAGCCTATGAGGTATACATGGGACATCTTTCTCTCTGCCTGTGAGGTATAAATATAAGTCCCCCTTTCAAAACAGTGATTAAAGTACAACTTTAAATCTGCAAATAAATCCAATTAGCTAATTTATGTGTATGTTTTTGTCCCTGCAGGACCTCCCTCTGCTCCTCGTAGTGTCATCCCCTGGATCAACGACACCACGCTCACACTGGAGTGGAACGAGCCTTTAGACAGAGGTCACAGAGAAGACCTCAGCTACTCCATTAAGTGCTCTGTATGCAGGTCACCCAGGGAAACTTGTCTCCCCTGCGGAGACAGCGTCAGCTACCGTCCGGCGCGGGAAGGCCTGCAGGTTCGCAGGGTGGAAGTGTGGGGCTTGTTGCCTCACACCACGTACACCTTCACCGTTCAGGCGCTCAACGGCGTTTCAACGCTTAGCACCAAGGAGCCGGCTGGCGAAAGCATCAACTTCACCAGCAGCCATGAAGGTAGGAGGAAAAAAAGCATTAAAGTTAATAAAAGGGTTTATATAATCAGGATCTGACACCATATCTATTATCCTGATGCTGTCTGTACAGTTCCATCTCTGGTGTCTGCGATCCGGAAGAGTGATTCCACAGAGAGCAGCCTGACTCTGCAGTGGTCGGTGCCAGATCAGCCGCACTACAACGTGCTGATGTATCAGCTGCGGTACTGTGAGAAGGTAACCCCTCCCAACCAGCGAATGATCATCCAGATTTATTTATTTATCTAATTTGTTCACACTTAGATTGTTCCTCTGCTTTTCAATTAAACCTCATGTGGTTTTTAATTTGTTAGTTCATTATAATGTTTGCCAAAAGCCTTTAAAACAATAAAAACAAAAGAATTTCATTTATTTATTCTTTTATAGTGCATATTAGAAAACAGTGCCCAAAAATGGAATTATAAAGTCAGTTAAGAGATGGTGTATCATACCCAGCCAGAGCAAACGGCTGATGTGAATGGACGCGTTTAAAGACCTTTTCTTATAATTTTTTTTTTTTTTTTCTGCAATGATTTCACTTCAGATCCAGAGCTTTTGGACGGTGACTGAAAATACGCTGCTCAACGGCAGTGTTTAGACCAGACTGGGTACCTTTTTAAAGGAGCCGTTTTAGGCTCTTAAAGGTCTGATTGGGGTGTGGTGAAAGGAAGTGATTAAAAGATTCTTAAGATACCTTGAAGATACTAGAGTTTCACAATCAATTAAAAAAATCAATGCTACTAGAATGCAGCTTAAGCAGGGAAGTGTGTTTATATTTTTAATTGAAGCAAGCACAAGATGTGACGGATCAGTCGATTATCACATTAGTAGCACTAAATTATTACCTTTTCAAAGGAACGAATAGGATAAAGGAAGAAGGAGATATATGCCTGACATTCTGCAGCTTTTTCCTTTATTTATTTATTTATTTATTTTTTACAATAAATGCACATAAGAGGAAAAAAAAAACTGAAAATAAATAGGATAAAAAGGGATTCCATTAGTTGGAGGATGTGGTTATTTTGTTTAGCTTTTAAAGATGGCTGCATTTTGAGAACTTACTTTGAGGATCTTAATCAAGAATGAAAGCAGCTTCCTGGCTTTTATACAGCAAAAGATGCCAGAGGGCCAATGGAAAGTCATAGATATGCAGGAATGTTGAATTTCTGTTCATCTTAATACATGTGTGCCACAGTGCAACAACAAAAGCTTATATGATAGCATTATTTGGTATAACCTAATGTTTAAAGTGTAGTTCATTAATAATATGCTCTCCAACAATATCTTTGGTAACTTAGGGGGTTAATCTTGATCATGGTCTCCAGCTGGTTGTGCACAGCACCAAGATGGAGTCTGAAAGCTGTCACTTTAGGCATTTTCTATATGAAAACAGAAGGGATAATTATTGCTGAAAGTTTTAGATCAAATTAGCTGAATGATAACTTGGCCTGGAGTGAAAGTATAAATGCCAAAAAGATATTTATTACGACTAAATTCTTGTTATAATGCAAAGATGTACGGTAAATTAGGCCTGATGGTTGAAAAGAAAGTGAAGAATAAGGAAAACCTGACTTAGTTAAAATCAGTGTCTCATTTAATGTTTTGATGTTATTTAAATGAAAGGAAAAGTCCGGTCAGCAAGGAATAATCAATGGATCATTATCTATACCTAAAACTAATACGTTTACTTTGATTCAATGAATTTAGCATTAATCAGTATGAAAAATAAAAACAATCATTTTCGTCGCGATCACAGTCCGGAACTGGCCATTTTTGCCCAAATATAGTAACACCTCTCTCCTGACATCTCCCGGCATGGACGTCACGGTGCAGTAAGCTTAGCGCCATTCTCCCAGCTTTACCGCCAAATCAATGAGAACTACGAGACACATCTGCAATCAACAACAATTATTTAAGATTTCCAGAGGACTTTCCCATTGAAATTCACGGGAGCTATAGTTAAACTGAAAATCCCCACGTCAATGACAGTTTGATGTTGTAATACATCGGGTAAAAGTGAAAGAAAAAAAATGTTTTATTTCACCTTTCCGATCCATGATCCTCCACGGACGGGTTTGTCGTTGGATTGCCAACTTAAAGAGAGAGGATTTGCCATCGCCAGAGAGAGAAAACACGTAATATGTAGCAAACATTTCAAAGAAGAATGTTTTCAAGATGACTTGGATAATAGCGCGTAGTGACAAACACAAGATACAGCACTTGGACTTGCTTAACAGCCGATACCGCACCGTGACTTCACAAACCGGTTTGTGGCTGTAGTGTTCTTTGACAAACATGGATGTCTCCAGTAAAGCGCATTCAAATGAAAATTACTCCTAATTAAAGCACATCATTTATTGAACAGTATGTAATAATTTCATATTTAACGTACTTTCAGAAGTTTTAATTCTGAATATGACCAGATTTTTCCTTAAACGAAGCCGAACTGAAGGGACAAATAAACCATCAGCAAAGCAGTAGTTCTCTTATTATAGATTGCTGTGATAGCAAATACAATACTAACATTACTGGGCCTAAAATAAATCCCTGAGGCTCTCCTCTGCTAATCCTTCCTCAATGGTCTCCTGCAATCCTCAAACCCTTAGAGAAACCAAACCCTCAGCTCCATCAGGTGATAATGAATACTGCCCCAAATGAAAGAAGAAGGTCCTGTTTGACCAACAGGACCAAAACCATTCATTTGCAAAGCCTTTAATACCTGGACAGGACAGCAGCTGAGATAAAGAGATGGTGTGATCAGCCGGATCATTGTTCTAAATGTAAAACCTCAACACAATTAACATCTCCAAGCTAAGCCTGTTTTAATGTGCTGTCATTGGATAAAAGGATAATCCAGATTAACTTCAAGTCCGTTTCATTGATCATATGAAAACCTCAACAGATTACTTTGTTTCTAAGCAGTCTTCTTGGCTAAAGCTGGCAGTTCTTTTAACGTTTTCCTCCATGTTTAAACTCCGTCTTCATCCAGCTGACTTCAGTTTTCTTTGGCAGGAGAAGCGCAGTGAAAACCGGTGCTCGAACAAACAGACTGACACAAACCAGGCTGTGCTGACAGACCTCCGCAGGGCCACTCAGTATGAAGTGCAGGTTCGGGCGCGCACCCAGGCCGGTTATGGCAGCTTCAGTCCTGCAGTCGTCTTCAGCACCCTGCCTGATGGTAAAATGTTCTTGCTTTCTCTTGCAAAACGTCCCAGCTTTTATGGTTTTTTTTTCTTTTCCACTAGATTTTTTTTTTCATTAGTCCTATCAGCATTCACAATCCCTGCTCAGTGTTTGTAATGCATTCATCGCCTGCAAGAAGGTGTCCTTGTATGCAGCCTGTTATTAATACAGATTCTTGTAATGTCCTTTTAGCTTTACCAGTATAAACCTGCCAGCTTTTGCACTTTTAAAACTTTAACTTTCTCAGTTAATGTCTTTTTTCCTTTTTTTTTTTACTTTCAGGATATGACTCTGCCTCCCAGTTCTTGGTTCCTGGCATTCTTATCGCAGTCGGGATGCTGCTGCTTGTCACTTTTGTCGTCTTAGCCGTCTTCTGCCTACGGTGAGAACAAGGGAAAAAGGAAAAGAAGCTGAGAAGAAGACTGATTTGCATGGGGGGGGGGGGAAGCTGCCAAAACAACAGGAAATGTGGAAGAAAAGAAGGGAAATCGAAAACTTAAAACAACCATGACCCTGATTTAACAGTTTTGCACCACTTTGTTCTTTTGTTTATACCTATTGTATCTTATCAACGCTAGATTTGCTCTGTGCTGTCCTCTCTTCTTTTTTTTTCTTTCTACGTCTGTGAAACAGTTCAGACACAAAGCAGCGTTTGTAATTTCTTTCGCTTACGCAGCTAAAAGCTATCCTCCTCATTAGAACATTTTCCTGAGGCTTCATTGTTTGAGTAAATAGTGCTGGATGCCCTAACGGGCAAGAGCAGGAGAGAAAGTGCATAGATCTGGTTAAGAGAGATGACGACAGAGGTAGAGGGCAGGGAAAGACAGGATGCAGGCGTCCCAGCCCTGTTTCCACAGGACAGGAGAACAATAGCTGTGACCTTGTGGCACATTCACACACACACGAACCGACTACTGAGGCCCAGATCTGCCACAAACCGAGGGTGGTGCTTTACTGCTATTTTAGGCTTATGAAGAGGGGGAGAGAGGGAGGGGATCAGTGGAAGGCAGTGATCCAGGAGCCACAGGCCTGTAACAGTCTTGTAGGGATGAGTCTGCGCCGAAGGAATCCTAATGGAGCCACTTGTGTCAAAGAGCAGGACCGTAGGGGTCTGCTCGGATGCCGGCCATCACAACAAGTCATGTTTTATTGTGCCTTTAACATTTCCGAGGATTGTTGAGAGCAGACAGAGGGGTTTTCGAACTGGAATACACGGATTAGAAATTATGTATTTCAGAAAGAGCGCACTTTACCTGGAAAAGTGTTTATCACTCTTTGTTGAAGTGTTCGCACATTCTGAACATTTAGTAGAACAGTATGATCTGTTTTAATATTCTATTATTGCTAGAAACAAGTATTTTACAGATTCAAAGATGTTGCACTAATTAAACCTTTACTTTTCAAAATCGCCCAACTGCACCACCTGTATTTACCTTAATTTTATTGTTTTGTTATGAGAAAATAACCCTTACTTTTAAGGTCACGAAGGGAAAAATTTTCATTGGAAAAACTTCAATAGAAAATGGAAAGTGTGAGCAGAGATCCTCTGCTCAGGTAGGAGGACCTTCCTACATTACAGCTACAAGTCGCCTCTTTTCTTCCTTATGTAAGAGAGAATGTAGCCTCTGCTTAAAGAAAACCATAAAATGTCTTCCAACAACCATGTATTGGACTGTGAAGATGAAGAAGAAGGATGAGATCATATGAATTGTTTGGCCGACCTTCCAGAACACTTTGGAGGAAGACGAAAACTGCCCTTCACGCTGAAACATCATACTATTGGGATGCATTTCATCTACAGAGATGGGAAGATATGAGGAAATGTGGCCAGAAATGAAAAATTGCTTTTTCCGGAAAAACTCATCTAGTCTAAATTATCTTGAGGAATCAGCAAAAATGTCAGTCTGCATATATGTAGAATTTGACATATTGAGACCTGCAGTGACTAGGGGGTTACTGCAGCACAGAATAAGATCAGGGCTTGAGAAGACACATGCGCACCGCACTTTTCAGATATATATTCATTAAAAAAAAGTTCTCAGCTTATGCTCTACTTTGTTTTTGTGTTTATACACAAAATACAAATAAAATACAATGAGATTTGGCTGTAAGAAAACCTGATAAAATGAGTAAAAGTTCACAGGATATGAATACTTTTTTAAGGTAATTTTTCCTAATTACCCTTTGTTCTATCTTTGATCTTTTTGCGTGACCTGAATTCTTCCTATGATGGTTTTAAAAATTTATTTTTTCAATTCATCCTTCTTTCTAATTGTCCAATATTCCAATAATTATATTATTAGGCTAGTAGTGTATTTGAAATAATTGCTAATGAATAATAATCCTTAGGAAAACTTTACCTGGGCCATAATCTTGATGCATTTATGCCTTTCTGTTTCCTGCTACAGCCGACACAGCCGAGTAAAAGATCCTGAGCTGAGCGACAAAAACAGCCAATACCTCATTGGCCAAGGTAACCCATCAAGGGCATGCACGCTAAACCTCTTGATTTATAACCTGTCACCGTCAGAGAAACCATTCCTAATGATACAGCGGGTACTTTGCTGCTCACAGTTCTCTAAACATCTCTTTGCTTTCCTTTCCCACGACTCTGTTTGTTCGTCTGTGGCAGGGGTCAAGGTTTACATCGACCCTTTCACCTATGAGGACCCTAATGAGGCGGTGCGAGAGTTTGCCAAGGAAATCGATGTTTCCTTTGTCAAGATAGAGGAGGTTATCGGCGCCGGTACGCTCCATTCACATGCTTTTCCCACTATTGCTGAATGGTTACCTGGTTACCTTTATGTGAAATTGCTTCATTTGTGTGTGTGGGGGTTTTTTGCCTGATTGTTCTCTTAAAAAAATGTTATTAATCTGTATTTAATTAGCTTTTTTATATTAATTCATAGTCTTTGTCTGGGCTCCTTTTTTATCAGACCAAATTCAATATAGTTGCACCAATAAAGCAATTAAATGATAAATATGTGGCCAACATTATTGACTCTCATTTAAACAAAAGGGCACCACTTGCTGCAAGCAAACTTTACACTGGTTAGATAAAGGGCTCATTGCCATAATGTTGAACACAGCAGCTCTAATGCGTATTTATGTGTCCTTGTGTGCTGCAGGCGAGTTTGGCGAGGTGTGCCGAGGACGCCTGAAAATCCCAGGGAAAAAAGAAAACTACGTGGCTATCAAGACCCTGAAAGGTGGCTATACCGAGAAGCAGAGAAGGGACTTCCTGTCTGAAGCCTCCATCATGGGGCAGTTCCAGCACCCCAATATCATCCACCTGGAGGGCATCATAACAGCCAGCTGTCCGGTCATGATTCTCACAGAGTTCATGGAGAACGGCGCATTAGACTCCTTCCTACGGGTCAGTTTGACAGCTCGCACTGAAGGAAGCTGTCGCACCACCTCCCAAACCGAGACGCACGCCGTCGCATCTAAACTGTCTCCCTCTTCCCCCGCAGCTGAACGACAGCCAGTTCACTCCCATTCAGCTGGTGGGGATGCTGCGCGGCATCGCCTCGGGCATGAAGTATCTGGCAGAGATGAGCTACGTCCACAGAGACTTGGCTGCACGCAACATCCTGATCAACAGCAACCTGGTGTGCAAGGTGTCCGACTTTGGCTTGTCACGCTTCCTGCAGGAGAACTCCTCCGACCCGACTTACACAAGCTCTCTGGTGAGGCTCTAATTTACTCATTACTCACAGTTGTGTTGGCAGGGAAGTCTTAGTATGTATGCGATGCTAATAGTTTGACCTTTTATATGCAGGGAGGCAAGATCCCAATCCGCTGGACAGCACCAGAGGCAATAGCCTTCAGAAAGTTTACCTCTGCCTCAGACGTCTGGAGCTACGGCATTGTTATGTGGGAGGTGATGTCTTTTGGAGAGAGACCCTACTGGGACATGAGCAACCAGGATGTGAGTTTAAGCAGAAATCCACCTTAAGCCATTTTAAATAATCAGTCTCTGCATTGGTTTGAATTATTAACACTCTAACCATAGTTTTAAAAACAGAACTCTAATCATCAGGTTGCTTATTATTTACAGCCTGTTTGCCTCCTTACTAAACACTCTGCAACTCCAAATCGATCCAAACATCCTTTAGTCGAAACACTTTGTTTGAACAGCAGCCGTTTGTCTACCATTGTCAGGTAATCAATGCCATCGAGCAAGACTACCGGCTGCCCCCGCCACCCGACTGCCCCTCCCACCTGCACCAGCTGATGCTGGACTGCTGGCAGAAGGATCGCTCGGCGCGTCCTCGCTTTGCCGACCTCGTCAGCGCTCTGGACAAACTCATCCGCAACCCCGCCTCGCTGAAAATAGTTGCTCAAGAAGCAGGAGGGTAAGAGTGAAAACATGAAGCTCCAGATAAACATTTCAGTCTAAACAAGTGTAGATCATTATGGCTTCTTCCCCTGACCGATGATCCCAGCCTTTCTTTTGTAGATTTAAAGCCGACTCATTGTTTTTCTCTGTGGCTTATCCAAATGGCCGGGACAAAACTATGCTGAATGCTTCCTTTACTATTTTGGCCTCGGTTTTGGTCAAGCAGAAACCTCTCCTCTTTGCATGAAACCAAAATTGATCTTTGTGAGACAGAGAGTGAAAGCATCCTTCATGATTCAACAGTTACACACATTACCTTTTTTCATCCAGTGCTGAAAATGGATAAAGTTGTGGAAATTTAGTGGTTAGGGTTCTGTTGAAAAAACAAAAACAATATCCAGTTTGAGTCCTGCTTATTTTGGTACCTGCTTTAGTAGGAATAGTTTGGTCTTTCAAATAAAATACCAGACTAAAAAAAAAAAAAAACCTTCAAAATAAAAGCTTTCAGAATGTAAATAAAAAGTGTGCAGTGTCCTTTAATGGCATTGCTAATGAAAAATGTGCATAAAAAGGTGGTGAAATTAAAGTTTCAAAATATAATTCTAAAAATTTTCCAGATTATTCTGAAATTAGATTCCCCATTACTAATCAAATCAAAATGGTGATGACAGGGGGATTATGTTGGCCTTTTAACATAAAGCATTCATCCCTGCTGCAACCAGACTCTAAAATGCGATGCTACAACGGCAATAACATGTATAATGTACAATTACTATTTGATACCCTTGGCAATAACCCGTTTCTCTACATTTTACACCCAGAGCAATAACTATATATATATATATATATATATATATATACCTATGTAAACGCCCTGTGTAATAATCCTGTATAAAAATCATATTTTAAAAAATATATATGCATATACTGTATATATCCCATGCACCTTTCGCATCCTTTGACCATTTGAGGTGATGTAACAAGTACATTTCTTTCTTTAAAGATCTTTAAAATAGACTTTTTCATATTTAATTGATAACATTGCATTAGGCCTGATAAAGCATCATAATAAAGCTCATGGGTTCTTCTCCAGATACGGTTGAAAATAAAAGCCTTTTATTACTGACTACTTCATAAGTACATTCCTTATGACTAATAGAACAACACCAATCATGGAAAATTCCCTTTAAATTAAAGCTAGCACATCTTTAAAGTAAAAGCCCGGCTTTTACATTAAAAAGGACTTAATCCTTGAAAGAACTAAACAAATAAGTCATGAAAAAGAGATTATTTAACATCTTGAAAATAAAGTTCACAGATGAACTTTTTTTTAGATGACTGTCTTGCTCTTTCATGGGTTTTATCATTAAAGATGCTGCTAAAGTTACATTTCTAAAAGGTGCTGGTTTCTTTATATTCAGCTTCTAGAACATTTTTTTCAACATTATGTGTTCTTATTTTTAGGACATTCTTTGTCTTTTTTTTCAAGTTTTTGGATTCTTTTTCACATTTTTCTTTTGACATTTAGCTGCCGTTTGCTCATTTTCAACCCTCAAGTAGCATGTTTATGTTTTCCAAGCCGCTTAACTCTGACCTTTGAATCATGAGGCATAAAAATGCTCCTGAATTCAAAGGATGGAACGGTGCTGCTTTCTGAAGAAAAATGGCTTGGCAAAGAATCTATTTTAAATTGAATTGTCAGGCAATTTGTTACTTGCAGACTGTCACTGTGAATCTACTGCTGTGTTTGATTGATCTAAAATCTGTGATGTCACAAAGACGGCCCAACAAGACAAATTTAGAGAAACCTGCAGCTAAAATGATTAAAACGAAAAATGCTGATCTTGTTTTAGGTCTTGATAACATAGTTCCTAAATCAAGGATTGGTCTGAAAATAAAGAATTTTAAATTGAAAATGAAATCTAAAAACTATAGCTGAAGAGATTTATAAAGAATTTTATGAAATGAACCACCTCAGATACAAAGTAGACAAAAAATAGCAATAGATACAAGCTATCACCTTTGTCTTAGTGCCAACAGACTGATCTCCTGATTCAGACTGTCGTGGTAATGCACTGATAAAGTCAGCAGTGTGTGTGTGTACTGATTGAAAAGGCTGCAATGTCTCTTTCTGGGGTCATTTGGACGGCCTGACAGTAGCAGGACAGACATTACCCTCCCACTGCCCACTCTGAGATGCCATCTCTGAGTCCTGCTGTGAACTGTCAGCCACTTGCTGTGCCCATTTCCCTTCCTTCGCATTCTGCCTGTCAGCCGGTTACATACCGCTGAAGACACCCCACCCCTGATGAATCCCATTGTTAGTAGCCGTCAGTCACTGCGCCTCAGATTATGCCTCTCCTCGTCAGCAGAACGTTGCTGCAGGACGCATGAAAGCCCGTCACTGCTGTTTTGGTGACAGTGAATGTGTGTCATTCTTATGTTTGTCGGCTTTCTCCGCCCCCTCCCCTGCAGGCCGGCCTACCCCCTGCTGGACCAGCGTGCACCTTTGGCCCTCTCACCGTGCTCTTCAGTCGGGGATTGGCTCAGGGCTATCAAGATGGAGCGCTATGAGGACAGCTTCCTGCAGGCTGGCTTCAACTCCGTAGATCAGCTGGCTCAAATCACTGCTCAGTTAGTTTCTTCTATTTCCATCTCATCTAATTTTGTCTCTTAATTTAGATGCTTAGTCTTGTTGCTTTTAATTTCAATACTTTATGATGGTTGTATTGAATAACTTTAGATAATAACGGTATAATAACACTGCAAATAACAATTATTTTGCAATTTGATAATAATATTTTGGTAGATCAAATTATTAATAATCGGATAGCCAAAGATTCTTTAAAGAAGACTTTTAACAAAATGAAACTAGGTGAAACCAAAACCTTTTTCATTTGAGGAGTTCTGGATAGAGCATAATGACAGATTTTCTTTTTTACAGTCTTGGTCTAATTACTGCTCTAAGTGGGTTGCTCTGTCAGATAAATGCATGTTTTACTGTCTCTATAGTACATTTAACGATTGATCTGTTACTGATTTAGTTGACGATTATTTCAATAATTGATTAATCTTGTTTATTGTTTCTGCCATAGATATAGCACCTTTCACAGAATTATGTTTTTGTTGTTTTCAGGGATCTGCTGCACATGGGCGTGACTCTAGCTGGACACCAGAGGAAAATCCTTTCTAGCATTCAGACAATGACCTTGCAAAACAAGAGCACAGCAACTGTGACATTCTAGCTGCTTTACCCCCCTTCATCCTGGACGTGAACACAGCACACAGGTGTGCCGCTGTGTCCTAGAGCGCTCTGGATCCTTTCCTTTGACCCACTTTGAACACAAACTCTGAGGAAAGGAGGGAGATTGTATTCACAACCAGGGAAAAGAACACAAAAAAGAAGAAAAAAAACAGAGGATAAGGATGACTGATGAGACTTGAACCAGTTACCTGGATAAACCAGTCATCTAGACTTTCTCTGTCAGATTTTCAAATGTTTGCTATCACTATTTTTACATCTAGCGAGTGTAGAGCTCAGTACATCTGCCAAACCATGATGAGCGATAAACCAGTGTTTACACAGTTTCTCAAGTTAAATTCTCAAAGCGTTCTTATGTGTCGTCAAAAAAACAATGTCACTTTGACTTTTAACCAAAGGAGACAAAATAAAAATGCTAATGTAAAACCTTTTGTTTGTTTTCAGGTTGTTATATAATTAGAGCTGTTTTGATGCTGGCTGTCTTTTGCTAATCCTTCTGGATCACCTTCCATGTCAGTTCTGCACATTCTAACAACAGGACTAGTTGGCTTCCATTATCTTTCAAAGTGACCTCATCTTTACTCAGGTGTGATGTGTAATACAGACTATGAGGAGCGCTGTTGATGCCCGTAATCAGACTCCTCATCTTCCTCAGTCTGGCTCCCCTTGGCCAGCTAAAAAAAAAAAAACACAAGCGGAAAAATGAGGCACAAAAGAGACATTTCAGCACTTTTGTCATTTCAGAGTGATTTGTAATCTTGTGTGATTTGATGTGTTTCTTCTGGGCTGTGTTTCTGTTGGATGTTTCCTGCTGGCAGCTCATTTTTGTTCTAATCAACCAGAACAAGGACCAAGTTGACTCAGAGAAGACTGTAGAAACAGTATTTCATGTTACCTGGCCTTGAAACATGTTTTCAATCGATATAAGTGATAATGTACATTTAAATACTCTTATTCTGTATTCTCCATCATCTTCCAGTGCCATTTATATGTCTATATGTGGTCTTAAATGACTGTTTTATAAAGCAGATATCTTTTCTGTGGGATTTAGTCCGTCTTGTTTTTGTTCTATCTTGAAAGTTAATCGTAGGAAAAAAATCACAGGCACAGCTAGTAGCTAACCAACAGTAACATCATTAGGTTTCTGTATAAACAGCTAAAAGGCTTTGTTGTTTTTTTACTCTTTTTCTTTTTGTGTGTTTTTATTCAATGCAAGTGAAATTGTTTTGTTGCTCACAAACACACAACACAGCAAACTGTATTCATTAGAAACATGGAAAACTTCATTCTTATTCTTCCGAATGGACTTTGAGGTGGAGACGGACTCCTTCCGTCCGTCCGTCCGTCTACCCTGACTTGCTTCTTTTTTTACTTCCTTTCTTTCTTCCTTCTACACTGACTTACTTCCTTCCTTCCTTCTACCAAGACTTCTTTTCTTCCTTCCTTCTACCATGACTTGCTTCCTTCTTCCTTCTACAATGACTTGCTTCCTTCTACCCTGACTTGCTTCCTTCCTTCCTTCTACCATGACTTACTTGCTTCCTTCCTTCCTTCCTTCCTTCTACCATGACTTACTTCCTTCTGTCCTTCTACACTGACTTGCTTCCTTCCTTCCTTCTACCATGACTTCTTTCCTTCCTTCCTTCTACCATGACTTGCTTCCTTATTCCTTCTACCATTCCTTCCTTCCTTCCTTCCTTCCTTCCTTCCTTCCTTCCTTCCTTCCTTCCTTCCTTAATTCTACCCTGACTTGCTTTCTTTCTTCCTTCTACCATGACTTACTTGCTTCCTTCCTTCCTTCTACCTTGACTTGCTTCCTTCCTTCCTTCTACCCCGATTTATTTGCTTCGTTCCATCCTTCTACCATGACTGACTTGCTTCCTTTCTTCCTTCTACCCCGACTTACTTGCTTCGTTCCATCCTTCTACCATGACTGACTTGCTTCCTTCCTTCCTTCTACCCTGATTTGCTTCCTTCCTACCTTACTTCCTGTTGCTCTTCCTTCATAACTAGTTTTCCTTCCCCTTTTTCTACCTAGGCTTCCTTGTCCTTTTTGTAGCTTTTGTCATTTAATTTCCAATTCAAATTTTCCCTTTCTTTATCATTCCTCAATTTCTTTGTTGTGCCTCGATGTCCATTCTTCCCTTCCTTGCAGTTTTTGTTCAAGGTTTATAGTAATCAAAACCTTGACTATTATGAAAAACAGCCATGCTATCTGGTATTCTTTTTTCCTCTCCATTTCATTTTTCCTCTTCTCCCTTTTCATTTCTGTTTCTTTATAAAAAATAAAATAAAAATAAAAACATAGTGCTACACTGCCAGACAGGACACGTAAAAAAAAATCTGTAAAATAAGATTATTATTGGAACTCTGTATAAATGGCTGCTATACCTTCATTACTATGAAATTTCAGTGACATTTTAATTTCTTAATCAGATGATAGGAATACAAACATCAACAGTTTATTTTATTTTTTCAATAACTACTGAAGTAAGCTGCTGTGACCAGCTAGCCTGATAGCTTTGTTGTTCAAGAGGAATTTGAGCAATGTTAGCAGAAAGGACGCTAACAGCTCTGTTTTAATCCCCCAACCCCTCCCTGCATCCTTCAGCTGCAGCTCTTGAAGGGTTTTGTTGACCCTTTTGACTTTTAGGTTGTGAATAATTTACCCTTTGTGAAGACTTTACCTATTCTTTGGGAAAAGAGTTGGATATGCAACAAAGACAGGCCTGAGAATACCTTGTTTTGGTTTTTGGTTAATTATAGATGCTCAAGTCTCCGTTTTGAGGTAGTATTTTGAATAGAACAAAATGCTAGTACCAGTAATACATTATAAATAAGGTTTATATACTGAGTCAGTTTAGTGGCATTTTTCAAAATTACCAACTCTTTAGTATAAAATTGTCTTTAACTTTAAAAGGACCCATCAGAACTGGTTTGTTTTAACAGGTTAACTTCGCCCTTCTATTGGCTGTACTTCCATTTTGTACCACCATATTGCCTCTTGGTCCCATTTTATTGATTGATTTATTTTTTATTTTTTTGTCATTCAGCAAAATATCTTCTGCCCTTGATCTTGACCAGGGTACATCTAAAGACATAGTGGTAGTTAAATGTTTTGATCACTTATGAGGGTAAAAGCAAACACCCAGGTAAAACAAAGGAATGCCCTGCAGCCATTTCATCTCCCTTTTTTTTCTAGACTTATGCATTGCCTTCTTAACAACCTCATGTACACAAAATACCTTAACTATGGCATATGTGTTTGGTTTTCATTGCAGTTCATTATTTTCATAAATTATGCAGGTAATTGCTAATTAAAATGCCTATACTCGTACATCTCAATTTTATGTTAGCATAGAACATGCACTCCATTCCCATTTATGTCTGCATTTATGCCTTGGGTTCAATAGATTACCCTGGTACCAAAAAAGGGGCATTTTGCACATTTTTTTAAGACTCCATTCAAATTATTTTCTTTATTGTACTTATTCTCCTGTGTGCAAGTCAAATTATATGTGAATGAATTAACATTTCTGTCACCATTTATCAGGGTATTGAAAAAAAGGCATAACTGCAGCAGAAAATAACTTCTACATGGTCAGAGGAGTATGAAAAGCTTTTTTTGAAGGTCAGAAATGGAATACGAAATAGCTAAAGTGTCCAAGACAAGGTATGAAAACAGAGCATGAATCAGTTTTCTTTTTTTACCTGGAAATATCAGCGTTGAAAAAAGCCTAAACTGAGAAACACACCAGAGCTGAAAAGACCAGCACTTGTTTTTGATTGCTGGCTTTAAGTTGCTTTAAATTCCCAGCATTACAAACCAAGAGGTTACAAGCTTTAACAATTGGATCTCTCTTGTAGACCTGCACAATATCGGAGAACATGCAACGCTGTGTTTGTTCAAATCACAATGACAATATGACTTGGGATTAGAAAAAATGTAGCTCATCAGAGTTAATGTCTTCCTGCTTTGTGTTCAATGCAAACATGGAGCCCAGCTAGAGATTTGTCTAATCAGCTAATGGGGGGAAAATGAACTTCATTATTTCCATCTAAACGACATGTTATTGGAAAAGTTGCATCTGACTTCATCTGCTTCTTTTGCCTGCTTGGTTGTAGTTGCTTAATGACTTCCAGAAACATGTTCTCCTGCAGTAAATAATTCTCACCAACTCTCTGCCTTGCATACAGAACCTGTGTGCCTTTCTCTTGCATAATTAGTGAACACCTATTGCAGTTGAATATGTTCTCTGCAGAATTGATAACCTTGGTAGAGAGATGGTGCAATACATTGTGCTTCCTACTCTCTGCTCATCCCCACACTATCTGATATTATTTCTGTCTGAGATCAGGTTGATTGTTTAGTTTTTCTTAGAATCATTTTATAAACAAAATATAAAAATCTTTTAAGGTCATCTGCAAAAGAGTCCTACTTTAAAGCAGCAGGTAGGGGGAAAAAAAGCAAAGGTCCTGAGACTTTTGCTCCTTTGTCTCCCTTTTTTCCTCTACACATTTCCTGTCTGTCTACTGAAATAAAAACCATTAGTGCCACAAAACAATATATTTCTGTGCATTGGACAATTATATCTTTTGCATTTTTTGCATTTTTTGTCACTGCATGCAGTGTTAGTAGGATTTATTTGATGTTTTCTGGCTTCTTTGCCCTTTATAAATACCGATTATTCATTTCATTAGTCCTTTCCACATCATATGCCTTTGAAGTCGCTCCCACAGCTAGCCAAGTGTTAAAACCGCATAGATGTGCACAGATGACATTGTGTGAACATGATGGTGGATCCCTGTGGACCTGAACTAAAAACCCGTGATTTTACCTGTCTCCGGTCTGATAACAGGCCGCTTCTTGTTCCAGTGACCCATGATACCTCTGGCCTGAATTCAGGGGAAAATCAGCACACAGCAAAGAGCTGCATCTTTCTGGGTATGTCTGGGCGGCTCTGCTCTCTGGCGAGCTTCTTTTTTTTTTTTTGTCTCTGCAGCCGCTGGATGTAAGAGAAATAAATGGTTCCCTCTTCTGAATTTTTCTGCAGTTAAATCAGGCTGAGATCAATGGAATAAAATTGTTCTTTTTCTGTTTTATTTCTGGCTCTTGTAACAGTCCTGTCTTTTGTCTAACCTGTCGTCCCCGTTTTTTAATAATGAGAAACTAGAGACGGCGTGGTCTTTAGTTGGCTCTCCCTCCCTCTGCGTGTCTCGGCTTAACTTTCTTGCAGCGTTTCGTCTGTTTGTGCAACGAACCTTTACCCCTGAGGCCCCGAAGCTTGTCCTCTCCTCTGTTTCCCTTCCTGGTCCTCAGCCCTTTTAATCATGGAGAGATGTTCTTTTCTTCTCTTGTGCCTTGGGCTGAGAGCAGCTTATAGCGCAGAATAAGCTTAAACTGTTTCTCACACATACTTGTTTCCCTTCTTACCCCCTCTTCTATCTTTAAAGCTACCATACCCTGGCTTAGCTGCAAGGCCTGCTAAAAATGTTGGGATTCATTGATTATTAAGCCTTGATAATTTTTTTGTTTTTTCTGACTCATTCTTGTTGTTCCTTTGCACTTATGTGCCCCCGTCAACATTTGACCTGCTTAAGAGGAGAGAAATAATGATGAGTAACTGTTACTGGAAGCACTTTTTTTTTTAACAGTAAAGTGCTTTGGTGAGCATGATTCTCTATTTTTTTTTTTTTTTTTTT